ACGGGGTTGACACAGAGACTGGTGGAAGAGAGAGACAACTGTGTGTGCAGTGAGATAGAGAAAAATGTAGCTCTTTGATACGAGTTTGGGGACCTTCTGAAAAGTATAAACGAGCTCCTCTGGGTGAAGAAGTGTTGTAGTCCCCTTTTGTGCTATTTTTACTTTGTCAAGATTGCATCTCCATCAGAAGAGCTGACAGTTGTTGGTAGGTCAGCAAGATTATTACGTGGTGATATTAACGAGTCTTGCATTTATTGTGATTATGATGAATGTTTTCTTTTTAAGGTAAAAGTAGGCAATGAGATTACTACTGGAACAGGCCCGAACAAGAAAATAGCTAAACGAAACGCAGCAGAAGCAATGTTGCTACAGCTGGGTTACAAAGCCTCTACTCCTCTTCAAGACCAGCCAGAAAAGGTGAGAACTAATTGCTGATGCCCGCATTTTACCCTTGTCTAGATTTTTTAGCTGCGTCAGCTAATCACTTAGTAAGAACGGAAGCTTAAACTTGTCCACCCTTTGGTTTTTTTGGGAGTTGCTTGTCAGAGATCAGCCACTCTATAGGTACACTTAGTAGTAAGTGCAGCCTCTCCTTCTGTAAGGGTAATTAAGAACAGAAAGGTGGTTCCATAGGATAGTGTGTGTGCAAAAGTGTAGATGTGATGCGTGCACCTGTTTCTACTTACAAATCAGGATGAACATGCCTCTTGCTTTTATTCCATTTTGGGCATCCATGAGAGTACTGAGAGGAATGATGTTGGTAATTTTCATACATGAAGTAGCCCTAGGAGTCAATGTTTGTCTTCCCATTGCATATACACTAAAAGCATTCCAGAAAAATCATGGCGATTTCAGGTTTGATGACTGAGAAAGAAAATGTGTGTCTTTTTTTTTTCTTTTGTGGAGAAGAAATTACATTTTAAATTCATGTGTTGCAGGTATGTATTTCCATTTAGTGATGTGCCACTTAGCACTCTTCTCCTGTCTTGAGTTTATTGATGGGAGGTTTTGTAACCAAAATTGGGTGTTAAGGTTTTGCCTTTTGTATCCTGAAAAGTTATGTGGTAAGGTATTTGAGTAAGCTGTGGACTCTGAACAGCTTCTGTCATATGCAGTCACTGCATGTATATATTTTGATCATAGCTTAAATGTTTGCTTAAATGTTTGTGGCTGCACCAGCTAGCTCAGGTCAGCAGAATATTCTGCTGGGGTCTAGGGACCACATGATAAAGCTGAATATAGTGTATATCTGTATGTATCTTCTGAGACACCCTTTCTTTTTCTTTAAAAAAAAAAATAGAGAGAGAGGAAGATACTCTGTTCTATACATTCTGTACTCCTAGCCAGGAAAAGATAAATATCATACTGGTTACTTGGCTCCACCACCTGTTTCCCTCTCCTTTGAGAGGAGCAGCTCTACGTATGCTATTCAAACTCACCTTCACTGCATTCTTCACTATGTATCTTAGTCATATACAAGTGTGCAGTACTCTAAACAGAGTACTTGGAAGCTAGATGGTGTTCCTACTGAGAACACATGGTGCAGTCATAGCCATTTTAAAAAAGGCTTGTGATAGAGTCAAATGGTAATTCCTTTTCACCAGAATGCTGTGACTTTTCTATTGTAGAAGATACCTTCTACTACTTTCGACTTTCTCTTCACTGCCAGCTTGGCCAAAGGGCATTTTGAAAAACAAAGCAAAACAGAAAAGTAGAAAAACATAGGTTTTCATTCTTGGATTTCAAATTGGCTGAACTATTTTTACTCAGTAATTTTCAGAGATAAAACCTGAAAAAATTCAGCCCACAACATAGTTGCTTTGGAGAGCTCTACACAGTGAAAACTTGTGGTTCCATTGAAACCTATTAAAAAAGTTGAGTGAGTGGCCAAAAAGGAGCACTTCTGCTTCGCTTCGCTCCATTTATTAAACTATTGCTTGTAAGTACATTTTCTTTAAAAAAAATAGGTTTAATTATGTACTTGCAGATGTAGATATCTTAGATTTGATAGAATAGCATACAAAGGACTAATATTATTCTGAACACAATGAGCAAACATGATACCGTATCCAAAAAATGTGAACTGCTCAAATTTTATGTGGTGGCAGTATTCAAGATCATAGCACAAATTTTTATGGCTTTGTTGGGGTTGAGGACATAAAATATCTAGAACATCTGACTTTATCTTCTGTATATATCAGACTGAACATATTTGCAGATACACAAGTTGGTTTGTGTAGCTGAAAGCATTTTAATTCTCAAACTAAACTGTGCTGGAGAAGAGGGAAAATAACCCTTAGATCTCTACCAATATGAGCATTGCAAAATTCCTTTCATACAAATTGCACAATAAAGATGTGCCATTACAAGATACTCGTTTCTCTCTTTGAATCCAAAATGGGGCCCAATGCAGATTAGCTGACGTATCAGGTTAACGTCTAAATGGACAATTTTCACTTGCGGTGTTTTTGATGCTTTTAAAAAAGGCAA